ACTGAAATGTAATGCATAAGCAGAAAAGATATGAGACTTAAAATATACCAAAAGTCTTACTGTATGACCAAAAGTCTTCACATACGGCTTTTGAAATCCTATATGGTTTTACGCATCTGCATTTAGTTGTGTATTTTTTGAAATTATACTGGACAGTGGCTCTGCTCGAGGCTTAGTTCTGTGTCTTTGTTCTGGTGTCACGTAGGCCTCCCCTAGGCCGTTATTTGGCCTGTCTTGGTGGGATGAGAGCCTGTTGTCTGACTGTTGGTCGCTTCTCAGCGGCATCCTGTTAAAGGGGTCTGGTTTGTGCTGCATAGTATTTTCCAGGTACTCCTGTATTTGAGATGGTTATGAAAAATTATGTTTTTCTGGCATTTTTGGAATACCATTCAGGTGGCTGCCTCCTTGCTTTGAAAGAGGTGGAAGAAGTGATGGTGTCTGAGGAAAGTCAGTCAGCTGACAACTTAGCTGCAACAGTCATTTCTGAAGATCCTCACACTGTTTTGGTAGAGTTTTCTTCAGTGGTGGCGGACACTCAGGAATACATCATTGAGGTAAGAAGTGGGGCAAACAGCCTTCTCATTCTGAGCTTAGCGTGGTATTTTGTCAATAAAAACTGCAGTTGTGCATGTTCCTCATCTAGGCTTTTGGGAGAAGGTAAAATAGGATCTAGCTGATGCTACCCTTGCCTGCATGACCCTAGGAGTAAGTAGGATTAATCTTGTTCAGAAGGAGAGCACCTTGAGCCTACTTCACCACCCTTCTGAAGTCCTGCATGCAACGCAGGCAGGAAAATGAGACTGCAGGGAAGAGGGACAGTAGTTCATCAGAAGGCAGCTGAGACTGAGAACTTCTGACCATACCAGATTTCATGTCCTCACAAATTTGCTTGAGCTTTCCCTCAACTTGTACCTACTCCTTTCTCCCATTTCTATTTAGCTTATTTTGTCTGAAATAATCTCTGTTGTTTTTAACTGGCTGTGGCTGCCAAAAGCAATGAATTACACATTTCGCTTTCTCTCCCTTCATGACAAAGAGCCAGTACTCATCCACGCAGAATAACACAGTTCATTTATTGAGTCGCTTTAGTGCTGCCATAGTTTTTCTCCACTAGGAGAAAAATCTGCCAGTTGGCCATGCCCTGCTGAGAGAGGATGTTCTGTTTCAGTTATTTGTGAGCACTTTGCATTACTTTTACGTAGCTCTCGATAATGGGATTTGGAGGGAATTTCAGGGAGGAGTTGTCTTTAGAGTAGCTACTGCATCATGGGGGAACAGAAAGACTTTTGTAAAAGATCTTAGTGTCTTATATCTTGGTAATAGAAGATTTTTTTGTAATAATATAAAAAGGGAATCATCATATTTTGTCTTTCAAGACTGCTACTGAAGACATGGAGACCAGCGAAGCTGCTGAAATAATAGAGGGAACAAGACATGAGGTAAAGCAGCCACATAAACTGTTATTTTGGGGACTTGCCGTAGATGAAATCAATCACTTTTAGTGTCTAAAAGTCATGCTAAATAAACCCAACTTCAAATAATTAATTTACCTACCTCTGTAGCTTCGCAGACCTGTCTGTATAAAAACATAATACTGGTCATACTGGGTTTGACTGAGCTCTGTTAACCCCAGATCCTCTTAGGGATGGTGGCTAGTGACTTGCATGGCTTCACACATGAGAGCACAGCTGCCGGCTAAATAGAACTGTACAGTAACACTTCAGCCCTGGGGAAACGATCCTCTTAAGGCATCCCTGAATGCTATAAATAATGGTTGCTGCAAAGTCAGAGGCTGGCTACGCTCTTGACTAGTCAGTCAGTCAGTTTAAATGTCTGGGCACGCATTGTTAAGATTTTTCTACAAACAGTAGCTTGACTTTCTGTAGGAAGTACCCTGCTGGCGAAACATCTTCAGTAACATGAGGTGTGACACGTTCTAGGAGTCTGCTGTTCTCGGGGTGATGAGAACTTCAGTGAACAGCTGGAGGAAATTGGAATTAAATGCTGCTTGTTGTAGTGCCCTGCTGGTCATCAAGCACTGTTTATGGTGATGATAATTGTCTGTACTTCTAAGAGAGTACAGTATACTGAGAAATAATGTGGCCTCTTTTCTCTTCATGTAGGTTGACAGCCACATTATGAAGGTTGTGCAACAAATAGTAAATCAAGCAAACTCTGGTCACCAGATCATTGTACAGAACGTCACCGTGGCAGAAAACTCTGAAGTAACCACAGATGCTGCGGACACCATCACCATCGCGACCCCCGAAAGCCTCACGGAGCAGGTGGCTATGACGCTGGCTTCCGCCATCGGAGAAGGAGCAGTGCTGACTACGGAGGGTAGCATCGAGACGGAAGAAGCAACAGTGACGATGGTAGCATCTGAGGACATTGAAATAATGGAACATGCAGGAGAGTTTGTGATCGCCTCCCAGGAGGGGGAGGTGGAAGTCCAGACTGTGATTGTGTAATGAACCGCATACAGCTAGTGACAGATGTTAATGTAAAACTTACTGTTTTTCTCCAGTTTGGGGAATTTGATCAGTCCTAAGTTTGCCATTATAATTGTTCAGAGAGCAAGGGAGAGAATGCTTCTATAGGTAAGTGGCTTAACAGGATGGTACAACTCCGTTTTCTGTTTAAAATGGAAATAACAGTAGTTAAAAACCTCTGCATGGTTATACTGTGGAAGTGACTGATAGGCCATATCTGACAGTCTCAGTGTTTTGTACAGCTGCCTCAAATAAAGGAAGATCCTTTGCAAAGCATTTACCTCTGACCACAGGACAGTAGTGTTCTGGTGTTTAGATTTAAAAGTGAAGCAAGTATGTAGGGTCTCATAAGAGACCACTTAATCATATGCATTTAAAACCAACCAAGAAAGCCAAACCTAAGGAGTTCTGGTGTGCATTCACCACCACTCAAAAACTTTCATGCCTTTAACCTCACTACTTTAGTCCTCCTAAGGCATGGTACTGCAGTATTTTATTTTATATCCTGGACAAGTAGCCTTATGTACTGGTCTATGAAAGAATGCATCATTGTACCCTTGCAATGCCAGACAGGCTACTCTGAGAGCTAGTCTGTTGGTGTGTAAAGCCATATTGTATATGATTTTTTTTTTTTAAAACCATATATGGGTTTTTAATTGCATATTGTACAGATTCAGCATGTAAATAAATACATTTTTAAAAATAAAGTTATTTAAAGTTCTTACTATATTTTTCTGATTTCTGCTCTATTATCACTGAAACAGAAGAATTTCTGGAAAGAGAACAGGGCCCCTTAACAGTGTACTTAAGAAACCCTCATTGTTGTTCTGGGGAAAACAGCGTGTTTGACTCGCCCAAACGCAAGCCTCTAGAAGCAGCCAGTACATCTACGCTTTGGAGATCTTTCAAGTGATCTCTAGTTAGAGGGATTTCAGAAGTCACTTGCATGGCTGTAAGTTTACTTTTGACTTCCACCATTAAGGCAGAGGGTTTTCTTGAGGGACACTGATGAAGCGCTTTTCAGCGTTCACCTGGAGGATCCCGGAACAGAAGTGGAAGACCATGTTACTGCTGTGCTGAAGTGGCCTGTTCAGTGACCGCAAGTGGGCAGCCCTAGACACAGCCTCAGCAACTGTGACTTCCCCTGCTGCAAAATGCCCAAAATATAAAGAAATGCCTGAGACATGGTTGAGCCTCTTGCTGTGAACAGATATATCAAACGCCAGAAGATTAAGTTTGTAATCCACCAGGACTTCTATGTCCAGAGCTCAATATCAAATTTCTGATACCCTTTTCAGGATACAAGACATGGTTGAGCTGTGAACAGATATATCAAACGCCAGAAGATGAAGTTTGTAATCCACCAGGACTTCTATGTCCAGAGCTCAATATCAAATTTCTGATACCCTTTTCAGGATACTGAAATTTTGTCCAGAAATCCATCATTTTCATGCCTCTAAGGCTGAAATGGCATGTTGTTTTAAACTAGCTGAAAATAGGTATCAAGAAAGAGACTTAGCAGATAAGGAGAAGTAGCACTTTTGGTAGTTTCCTTTCTGAAATTAAGGTGCTCCATACTAGTACAAATTTGCAGTAGAACATGGTTTTTGCAGGTTAAGATTCTGCCAGTAATCATGTTTTTTTTCCCAGCTATATACATGCAACCTATTCTGCATATTGTTAACAGTAATGGGTTAATCATTTGCCAAACAAAGGTACTTACAAAAAGATGAAGCTTCCTTGAAGTTCACAGCAGCTCTTTGTTAGCTCTTCCCTTGCAAGTGCACACACAGAAAAAGATTGACTTCAGTAAGATGGATCAAACTTGCCTCTCCATACCAGGAAATTCACTACTGGCCCCTCTACCAAGGAAACAAGAGGACTAAGCTTAACCTCAGAGATCTCACCAAGTAAAGTATCTTAAATAGTGCTCTGCTGAGGCATTGTTAATCAGAATACTGCTGAAAACTGTTACTCACAGCTGAATACAGTCAGCAGGGAGTTACTATTTTCCCGCAAGGGAAAAAAAAAATGTGAACAGTTGACAAATACATGCATTCAGATGTCTACTAGTTCCACACATGTGACCGCTATATTCCTGTGAAGTCTCATGCAGGAAGACCTACCTAAGATGTACCAAAGCAACTTAGGAACTCAGTTTGCCTATTATACAGTGGTATAATGCAGCATACAAACAGTAATAATAATAAAAAACAACCAGTCCCTTTTGTATGTGTTCCTTAGCCGAACCTATCTCTAGTACAGCTTGCTTCAATACTGCGATTGCGTCTGAAAAGACCAACAGGTCACAACTGGTTCGAGTACTGTTACAAATAAACTTGGAAGAACTCTAGTTTTTTGAAGACTGATCAGCTTTATGAAAACAGAGTTTCCAATTACTTAATTGAAATACAGTAATCTTTTTACAAAAGTTGTTTGGGTCATCAAAGCGCACTGAAATAAAGTCTTACAAAAAGCTTAAAAATGCACATATAAAGAATGGCATCTTCATGTTTTCTTCTTTCTTTCTAACACTGTAGGAGGCTTAAAGATTTCCTTTAAATTCATCCAAACTCCTTGAGAATAAATGTTTTTGTAGACAACTTGTCTGTCATGAGGCTGCAATGTTAGATGATGGGAACACCCATATCTTCTGGATTTATACCATTCATTGGAAGTTTGGTTGGTTAAGGCCAAATACAGATTGAAGCAGCAGTATGCACCCAGTACGAGTGTGAGAAGAATAACAAAACCAAGCATGAAGACAATCCTAGGAAAAGTCAAGAAAAGGTGCTGCAAAGAAAGAATAACTTAGTTAAAAAGTTGGAGCACTAATCACACAGAAGCAACACGCCAGCTGAAATGCACATCCATACGCACACCTAACTGTGCAGCCCCAGAAACAAGGTCACAGCCCTATCCCCATCCAGCTCAGCAATGGTCCATTCCCGACTGAATCTTTGAGTGAGGCATAGAGATTTCCAGAAACGTATCTCCTTGCAAGCCTTGCTAATATGTGGGAGTATTTTCTACATCCATCTATCTCTGAATGTTTGTATTTCATATTGGAATTTTGCTTGTTTGGTTTTCTGTAGCTTTTTTAATTAAAAAAAGTCATTAATGCAGATCATCTGAAAACAAACTGCCAAATGAAGAGGCTGCAATCTGGTACAACTTCAGTTTTTGCTGACATGACACAGTTTAAGCAGTTCTTTTCTGAGTTAAATTCCAATACTGGGGAGTGGTAATGGCTGGTAATTCTCAAACATGAGCAAACATTCCCTGACCAAGATCCCTTTATAAGAGTACAAGGCTGAAACATCTGTTGTCTAGGATGAGGAAAAGATAAAGCATTTACTACTTATCACCTCACTGCCATACTGCAGGAAGGGATGAGGGGATTGAAATGCAAATGACTCAAGTGCTAGAGAGACTCAAAGTCACCCTTTGCTTGTATGTGAGAGAAAATATTCAAGTATCTAAGTTCAGGGTAGTAGGGTCCTGCTTTAACATCTCCATGAAGGTATCTTGAAGATTGTCAACTGTTTCCTAAACGTTACTACAGTAGTAGTCATTGGAATGTAAAGTCATTCTTTACGAATCAGATCTGCTGAGTGAAAGCAGCCTGCAGACAGAAATCCGAAGAATGGGAGAGCAGAATGAAGTGCTGTGAGAAAAATCCCGTATTTTTAAAGTATTCTGCAATGGCAGTTTTCTAAACTTAATTAGCTGTGTAAAGTTGGTAAGAAAACTGCAGTCTGTCCACACCCTGCCTGTGAGAACAGGCAGACTTACAAGATTCCTGAAAGCAAAGACTGAGATAAACCTTTTTACAAGCTAATAACCCAGACAGCATAAACTTACCTGAATGAGGAAGAGAATCTCAACAGCATGCTCTTGTCCTTGGTCATCAATGTAACTCCCATGCATCATATTTGACAGCATCACCACTTGGATGAGAAATGCTGCTGTGATGATTGCAATGGTTGCAGCCATGGCAGTCAGTGTGAAGAGGTAAAGGAAGAAATACTTTGCATTGAAGGCACCAATGCAGTTGTTGACCCACACACAGTGGTGGTCAAAACGATGTACACACATACTGCAGAAACCTGATGAGGAGTGAGTGACAAGACAGTTCAGTTATTTGTTTTTTAAGTAATCAATTTGATTTTTACACAATTTAGGATAGTTTTTCATCTGAAAAAAATCTGAGAATTATGGTCATGATTTAGCTGATAGCTTTTTAAGCAAATACATTAATTTCAATTGCATATCATAAGAAAACCCCAATACTAAAAACAAAGACGTGTATCTCATTTCCTCTTTTATTCACTAAGACTTTGGTTTCTCTGACAGTACTGCCTAGCAAAGCATATAAAAGGTAGAGATTGTAGCTCTCAGCTTTATTTTAGATGATAACAGCAAATTCTGCAAGAGAAACACAAAATCCTGAACTCAGGTCTTGACACGTGATAATTTTTCATTTAACTTTTAGATGCTTAAAAGCTTGCCTGTTCCTGACCCCAAACGATACCCTTGGAACTGGTAATTTCTGTGAGAAGAAATAGCAGCAAAACAGTTCCATGGATGGGCAAAGGGCAGCTGTGATCTGGGACCTCAGTAAAACGAACACAATGCTGTGTGCATCAAGCTGGCTAATGGAACAGATGTAGTGTGAACTGCAGTTATTGCTGGAGAATTATTTTGGAAAAATATCACTGTTATGCTTATCAAGGAAGTTAAGATTCTTACTGCAGTGTTTTGATCTGGCCGGCTTCTCCATGTTGCACGTAGGACACACGATGCCTTTCTGAAATAATACACCATCATATGCATAAAACTTAACCAATGATGCATGATTTGATTTTGTTATTATACCTGCGGAAAAAACCAAGAAAAATAGTAAAAGTAATGGTGTTTGTAACATGTTTTAGGTTCCGTTTTCAAACAGCTACAGCTCAGAATCAGCATGAGCTTACCAGGATTGGCCTGGGAGCAGAGAACGAAGCAGCCCATGTTCCCAGCCAGCAGCAGGTAGGGCAGCAGGAGGAGGAGGAGGTGGAACTGCAGCTCCCAGCAGTACACAAACACTTCCCATGTGTATTCTCCATACACTGCAGCTTGCAAGGCTATGTGCAGGACAACAAACAAACAGCTTCTGTAACAGAAAGGGGACAGTCTATTCAATACTCAGCATCCTGATTTACAGGTCAAGTACACTCAGAGGTGATCAGCAAAGACTTTCCAAATGCAAGGAGACACCTCTTTTAGGTTTTCAGGCCAGCATGGATTGCATATTAATAGTGTTTTCTCCATCCAAGGGCTTCTCCTTCTCTTTCCACATACACTCCTTTAAATATGCCAGCTAAATTCACTTCCATTATTGTCATGCCCTTTGGATTTTTTTTCCAACAGTAGAGTCAAGTACAAAGCACCCTTGGTGCTGACAAAATATGCCACAGCAATAGGCCACAAAACATTCTGCCAGAAGACATTTGCTGTGTGCTGCTCTGAAAGCAAAGAAAACCCCAGTAAAAGGTAATCTTAAAAAAAACTGTAATAATATAAGCAGCTGTTACGAAATAAGTGTGGCAGGAGGTGAGCAATGGTGAACACTAGTTCCAACCTGCTGGCAGACCTACAGCTTCTGCGAGGCAAGCTGCACAACCATTTGACATGCAGGTTTGTTTGGGATGCATCGTACTGAGCAACAGCTTTCAGCAGCCTGGCAAACAGATGCTCAGATAAGCCACGCGTTGGAAGAGCAATGTTCACTTACTACAGTTCTCTGCATTATACATCAGTTTGCTGGACTTTTATTACGAGTTTTAAATAGTGATGTGTATTTTACTACAGCGGGAAGTCCGTTGCAGACAAGCTCTCCTCTACTGCTCTCTCCTACACCACTTCTGTCTGCAATCCAGCAGGATCCTGCGGAGTCTCCTCTCAACTGCAGGGCTACAAGAAGATACCCTCAAGGGCTGCATCTCACTGGACTTCTGCATGAACTGAAAAATCTCCTGCTTGAATGAGGTGACGCAGTCAAAGGGCGTGCGTGGAGGATCAAAGTGCCTCCAGCGCACAGCATAATCTAGCAATGACAACTACACCAGGCTCATCAGATAATTGCTCTGCTGCTGACTGCACATTTGACAGTGTAATCACTCTCTCTTGGGCTGTGTTAACTTAACAGCAGAGAATCTGCTCAGCAAGCAACAAAACAACCGCAGCACACATTCAACAGCCGTAGATGTTACACCCCTAAAGTGTCTGTCATACTGGAGTTGCTGCCCCCAGAGGAAAGGTATTTAAATCGTTCCTGAAGCAGATCCTAAAGCACCAAAGTTGACAGGACGCTACAAAATTCACCTTAATACAGCAGGCTGCACATTGGCAGCTGTGCAGCTTCCCCTTGAGCCACCTGGACATCCAAGCTTCCGGACTAAGACTAGTGGGATTTGAGGGAGAGGATGGGGATCACTAGCTCTGTCTAAACTCACTCTGCAGCTGCCAGAGAGTCTGTTGTAATTCTCTCGTGGATGCAGTCTCGCACCAGCGTGACCAACATCTGTTACACTGGAAGCTACTGAGCCACATTATCTTTATTTGTCAATATGTTCAAATATTTCAGCGTACCATCTTCCCAACAATAAGCAAGGAACAGAAAGACAACAGCATGGCAAACCTTAAAGGGAATCTGTAATCCCCGACAAGCACCCCTAAGGAAGAGAGAATATCTGAGCATAATACTGAAAGCTCTGATGGTGGCAGGAGGTCATCTATAGTGGCCAGAAATACTAGTAAAAAATAAGGTCAAAAGCATTTAAAAAAAAGTGCAATACCTTGTGTGGAAGAGCCTGTGAAGCACCCTGTGTGTCACTCTCTGGAGCTGGGTGGGGATTACAAACGACAATACCTGAAGCAAATGAAAACACTGTTGTTATCTAAATTGCACATCACTTCTGCACATTCAACAAAAACGTAAGTCACCTAATTCCTCAGTTATATATCACTGTAGCCATATCATTGGGAAGGAAGCTCATTTTCAGGGGCACCTGAGCTCCTAAGAATACAGGCAGGCATGTTGCTGGGGTTTTCAAAATGGGAGTGAGGTTCCATATTCTTGGAAGCCCAGAAGGCACAAACAAATGTATCTGGGTTAATGTGTGGAAGTTAGAAGGAGCTTATATCAGGTTATAGGCTGGGTAACTGGCTAAGCAGGGGATGGAACTGAGCAATTTCTGAACTACAATATGCTTCATCAGGATATCTGACAAATGCAAGCGGAGATAAGCAAAGGGATAAGGCCTGCTATCCTCCAGAAAAAGGGAAAAAAACCCCCAAACCAACCAAAAAAACTAAACAAACCCCACCAAAACAAAAAAATCCACAGTTTCTGCAACTACAGCTATGATCCAGTCTGATAACTCCATGTCTATCTAACTGCTGTTTCAAAAACACCTAGACGCAATGAAGAGAACTGCCTGTCTTCATTCAGCGAAGTCCTCAGCAATAGTCTGTGACTGCGCAATTGTTTGACTGTGCTGTTCAGAAGGTGACAGATCCCTACAGCAACACGCTGCTCCACCAGTGGTGGAGGAATTAGAGCAGCTGGGCCTACTTCTAGCTGACATGGAAAGAAAACATACAGTCAGAGCTTCTTGTCTCAGATGTGAAAGACCAGAAGGCAAAAAGCGTATGTGGAGTTGAGAAGATGTTAAATATTTTTCTTTTAACTGGTATGCCTCATATCGGCACTTCAAGTGACAAGTCTTTTTTAAAAGAGGCTGTGTACTGCAATAGGAAACACACAACTAGATAGAAAAGCAACTTGCATGCAATTGCAAAATTCAAATTTAAATTAACTGTACGTGTGTCAGTACAGTCTAACATCACATTCAATGTCCATTATCCCCCCCCCATACAGTACAGCAATCCCCTGTATTTCAGCCATTCCAAAAAGGCTTTTACAAATACAATTTGTGCTTGCAGTGATAACAAAAGCAGGAGGGAATGAGAAGACCTGTACAATGCACATAACCATCTCACACAACTGAACCACTGGCAGCAAGGAAAACAGACCGGGGGGTGGAAGCTGACTTGTCACAGAGCTAGAAACAGCTGTGCCGTGCGCAAGTTAATTATTTCATATTGCTCACAATGAATACTTTAAAGGATCTTACAGGAGTGCAGTCAAACAATTTCAACAAACCTCCAGGCTTATACGCTTCATTAATTACAGTCAGAAATGAATTTAAAATACAGTGTCTAGAGAAACTATTTAGGATTACCTATATTTATTGCATGCGTACAAGTATCGATTACTTTTCTCCAGACAGTGACTTTACATCACAGCACTATTTTAATTGCTGATTGTTACATGTGTTTCTTAGAGGGACCTATTAAGAAATGTGGGTGAATAATAAATTTGAAAAGAAAGTATAACACTAGTAGCAAAAATCAAAGTCTGTTTAGACTCATGTAAACAGCATTAAATATTGTTTACAACTTAAATGATGATTCCCTTATCCTTTCCCTTCCAGGAATGCTACACCTTTTTTTTTTTCTTCTTCATTCAGACACAGCCCAATAGACAGAAAAATAAGCTCGTGCCTTTTCAATTCATTCCCTGTTTTTTTTACAATAAAATGCCAATTCCTAATCCTCTTTTAAAGCTCTTCATTCCTCCTTCTTTCTTAGGAAACAAGAGCCTGCAGCATTATTACAGACTCACATTAAAGAGCTTCCCCTAAAATATCTGCTACCAGTTATAACTCTCTCCCTATTTTAATTCTCAAACCTCCCCCCACCTTTTTCCTCTTAATGACAGCAGGAAATACCATAAAATTGCAAATAGTTGGGGCCTCATTATTATTTAATTTTTCAAAGCTGACGTGTTACGGTGTCACTGAACAATGTACTTTTAGCATCGCGAGAAGTTCCATCCTTACTACTACCCTGCAGTGGCTGCAGGCGGCCAGACTGGCACACGCAGGAACAGGAGCTGTAAGACACAAGTGGTTTTTTAATACCTGCTTGGCCAGGATCTCATCAGCCAAAAGGAAACATATTTCTATTTCCAATCCCAATAAGCACTTGCCTGAGAGCAGTTGTCAAAATAGGACAAAATTGGAAAGATACCATATTATCACTCTAACCACATACACTAGCATTTTTTGTGGAGGGGAAATACAGCAGTTGCACTAATTTTTGCACGACTAACTAGGACAGACCACCAGAACGGGAGCTGATCATCGCTCTGAAAGCTCAGTTCTTTACCTGGCTTGCACCGGTGACACTTCTTGCGAGAAAACTCTCCTTCCTTCCCGAGCAGATGCAGAGTAGAGCCACGGCAATGAGAACAAAACA